CTTTTTCTGTTGAATCTTTCAATGTGCATAATATCGAATTAAACGATTTGACTGGCTGGCTTGTGTGCTATATCTATATCAAACGGTTTCAGTATTCTATGGTTACCGGGAGACACGATTATATCATTCATGAAGCAATTTAAATCATTTCACTATATGTTAAATATTGAGCTGAAGGGTTGTTGTTGTTGTTGTTGTTCAGATGGGGGACAACGAAAGCTCCACAACTAAACCAACCAGCTGCTCAGAGAAGACTATTAATTGCAAATTATCGTTATTATTTGATAATCCTGTAAAATGTAGATATATGCAACATATATATATATATATATATATATATATATATATATATATAAACGTCTCTCTGTGTATACGCATGGCAAATATGTAATAAGATATGCGAATATAATCAATTAATTTTCATTAAACAATATGAATAAAGTTTATTTTACATGCTGAATTAAATGATTCTATTTTCAATGTATCATTTACGTACACAGCATGCATATATATATGTATAACACAGTGTAAACATCATCATCATCAGAGTCATATTGTGAAGCACCTTTAAAGGCAGGCTTGTATATGGCTCATGTCGTCAGCAAAATGGAGCCTGCACTTATTTAATTAGTGACAGTTAGTATTCTTAATCAACACAACAATATATATTTCTCAGAGTGGGTATGCATCTAAACATAAGAAAAGTGAGCGTGAATCTAATACCTAGAATGATGAATCACTCATTTGGCATTATTATTATTATTATAATAACAAAATAACTCTTCTTTAACATACTTCTATATTTATACTTTGTTCATATGACAGACAATCCTCCCTGAGAAAAGTAAATTATTATCAGTCATTGAATTTTTTGAAAGAGTTTTCAAGTTTTCTTAACCTGAGTGTCTCCCACGTGAGTATTATTATTATTATAACCCCCGATGGGTTCCGAGTGAAATGCATCTCTCCTTTGTTCCATTTGACGCTTTACTCTTGACGCTCATCTCGTCCTCCTCCTCCAAAAAAAATGACACGGTCTCCTCTATGTTATCCTTGCACTGACGACCAACTCGTGGCTTCCCATTCGGATTACGCTCAAGTGATGGCCTGCATTGCTCACGATGTCAATCGACGGCTTCCTCAACGTATGCCCGCCAAGCCCGAACCATCTCCATTTTCTCTTACATATTTGTTGAGCGTTCGACTCTCACCTTTCTGTTTGTTGCCCGCCAACCAGCCAGCCAGCCAGAGTTTCTTGTTGCAAATGCCTTCTGGCTTGCTGGTTGGGCATTTGATCTTGAGTATGGAGTCAGCCAGCGAAGGTGGCAGCTGTCGATAAATGTGTGTAGCTGGCTGTTGGAAATTCTTTCCGTGACACGTTGGCCGAGTTTCTGACCCATATAGAAGCCCTGACTGACTGACTGAATTCACATTTTTGCTAAAGAGAATCGGAGTCGTGTTGTTGTATATGCTGGCTGGCTGAGTGTAGTGCATAAAATTTCCAAACTGGTTTCATGTTGATTCCCTTTCGTGTTGTCTTCTACTATTACAATGAAACCTTTTCGAAACTTTGCCCTGATAGTTTATCGGTCAAACATTTGACAATAAATCAAGTAGGAAGCGTTAACGCCGGAAAATAATGAAAAAAAAACGAAAATTATAAATTTAATTTGTGGACGGTGACTAGCTGTGGAATCCGGGACAACGCGTATTTTGACTGTCCTATTTGGGACTCACCTGCCAGCTGGATGTGCCTGCATTTCCCAGTGAGTCAGTGATGATGTAACCACCGCTGAGGCTTGAACCCAGGGCCGAAAGTTTCAAACGCCAAAGCGTTATCCACAAGACCACTTGGGCCATGAGAGCCAGCCACCTCTTGTGCAACGGATCATAGTAATTAATTATCTAACTGAATTTTAGACTTTCCCGTCGATTGATTGTAGGGAAGTGCTAGGTCTCAGGGTGACATGTCGGCTTCTTGTGCAGATGCTTCAGTGATGTCTGGGCATTCAATCAGAAATGAATTTGTGGATGGTGACTAGCAGTCCACCGATATCAGGAAAATCATTGGAGATAGTAGTCAGCCAGCCAGCCGGCCTTGTCTTACTTCTGTCTTCACCCCGAAGGATTCCCGTTGTGGATTACTTGTCGTACAACTGTTAGATGAGGTGTATAATTGTTAGCGGCACTCCGCAGTAGTGGTGAAGTAGTCTTTGCTGCTAGTCACCATTCACAAATTAAATTCTAATTAAATGCCCAGACATCGTTGAAGCATCTGCACAAGAAGCCGAAAAGAAGTCAACCTGAGACCGAGCACTTCGGTCCAATCAATCGACGGGAAAATCTCAAATTCAACTAAAAGAAAATTATAAATATTCATATTCATAAGAGTCCAGTAGAGTGACGGAAAAAGTAGACAGGGAAGGAGGGCATAAAGATAATATCTTAATTATTTGGCTTGGCGTGAATACCACAAAACTAGCCATAAAGTATTATTATTCACTCGATGTTTAGAGAGAAGTTTTAGCATTTTACCTACATTTTTGTTTTAAGTTTTACCGTTTAAATTCATCTTTGATTTTCCCGCTAACTGATTGTGCACGGATTGATTGCTCGGCCTCTGTCTACCTGTTGGCTTCTCTAATAAAGACGCTTCGACGATCTCTGAGGATTAACTTGAGTTGATTAGCAGCGAGATATCCAGCATGCACGTCCTATTCGGAACTCGATAGCTGGGTGTATCTGCATCCCCATTCAGAAAGTGACAGTGCCCCCCATTGAGACTTTAGCCCCAGTATCTCTTCCATCGTTCCAAATGTCAAAGCGTTATCTACTAGACCATTTAGATCACGAGAGACACCTCTTGTGCAACGAGTGTCAGTTATTAATTACTGTTTAATTCAATTTTGATTTTCCTGTCTTTTTTAATCAATTGTAATTCAGTCAGATGTTTATTTGGAATTTTCGGCCAGCGCACACCTTTCTTACCTCCTTTAGCTCAATTCAACCCTGACAAAGTAGGAAGGTTGTGCAGGGGGGGTGTAGTCACCCCATAGCGTAAAAGCGTCAGTGCTACTGAAACTCCACAACTAAAGCTTTAAGCCCTAAGTCCCACTTGGAACGCAAAAGGAATTAAGTTATAAGTTGAAATAATGTAACGAAATTATTTACACCTTATTATTCAAACCATACTTTGTACAGATCTTCCGTGTTGTGCTACTTCTGCCCTCCCTTCGTATTCTGTTGATTTGTCTTCTTTTTTTAATGTCTCCCATGTTTCTCCATTGAATTGCTTTCTCTGATATCAAATCCAGCTTCCTGCTATTTGATGTTTTTTTCTGCGGATGATCATCTTTTTATGTATGTGCTACTGACAAATCTTATCAGTAGCATAGGCCACAGGTTTGAATGCCACCCTAATTCCTGTTTATCTGAGAATCCTACGTAGAGTCTCAGATGTCCCCTGCCTCTTTATATGGCATAACACTAGATGACTTATATTCTGTCTTATTTATGTTATCATTATTAGTTTCACCATAATTTTTATTTTGCTTTTGGCCTTTAACGATCTTCCTAATGAATTTTATTGGATAGGTAGTTATTTAACACCAACGACTCTTCTATCTGTTTTATTTCGTCATTTAGGCCTTTTGTTGTACTACTCAGTGCTATTGCTCGATTTGTTAGACACTTAATTAAGCAAGCCTTAACAGATAGATAACAGATGAGACGAATTAAAGTCTAAAAATCTTTTAGCAGAATGCGTTGGCATTTTTTAAAATCTAGTGTGCAGTTTACCTTCTTCTATTCGTTTTATTTTACAATCTAACAGCATAGCTAATCCTCCTTGTTCATTTTCCGCCTCAAATGGGAATTCTATTCCCTCTACTAGTGAGTTTATATGTGTGAAGAAGCTAGAGAGAGGTGTGTTCTGTTTTTAACACAGTGAAAGTGTCAGTCATCCACATATCTCCACCATATACGTGGAAGTAGTCAGATTGTCGGAACATAAGAATTTAGCTAAGGTCAGAACGGTTGACCCCGCCCACGAAGATAAGTAATTTAGAAAAAAGCTCAGTGGTTTCACTGCATGCATTAACACACAACCGCAAAATAGATTGGGTGGGAGAAGGTGAAGATTCTGAGAAGTTATCTATGTAGGTGGAGACAGAGAGAGATTGTTTACTGAATCCTGCCTGGTTCATCGAGTCTACACCTAACACATGCAATAGAAGTGACTCAGCGCAAATATCAGAGATATGGAAGATATTATTACCGCCAGTCAGTCAAATCAGAAGAGGACAGTAAATAATCTGAAGTTGTATTCTATTTCAATTCAAGCACATCACAACATTCTAACAAGTTATTTATTATGACTATAAAAACACTCGTCTTATTTCCCATCTGATTGTGTTCGATTGATCAATAACACTCATATTATTATTTCTGGCGCCGGTGGCATAGCGGTTAGGACGCTCGCCGACCATGCATATGGTCCGGGGTTCGACCCCCGGCCGGCGCACTCCTTTACCTCACTGAGCCAGAAATAATGCTGGTAAGGAGGAAAGGTTGGGCATGAGGCTAGCAACCCCATCCTGTAAAAATTAAACACTGCTACAGAAACTTCAAGCCACTAGCTTGGAGCCCTATGTTCCACTGGGAACGTGAAGGAAAAATTAAAATTATTATTTCTGAATTCACATTAGCCTATATCGATTGTTTATTCAAATGTCTAATCACCAATTTTTGCTGATGTATATAAATGAAGAAGAAAAGTTGTGTGAGTGAGTAACTTGATTTGATTATGAGTAGCAAATAAATTGTGCTCAAAACTTGGTCATCAGTTAATATTACTGTATAACACGATTGTGTGATTTATCAAAATAAAATCTTATCTATCTATCACAGTGCCCAAGTTTTATACTCTTGCATCATTATCAGTAAAATAAATCTGTGTATGTATATATTTTCTCTTCTTCCCTTTTTTGTTTCTACAACAGCTTGGTAAACTGTCCTATTCCAATAATCATATTACACGCTGAAGATGATGCAACTGTACCATTCCCTCTAGGGAAAAAGGTAATTCTATCATATCGTTGTAAAATAAAAATCATTATAAATTATTTAAAATAAATCAAAACAAGATTTTTTATCAGTACAAACCACATAGCTTCTTAAGCAGAAAGAATTATTGGCAATTTATTAACTTTCTATAGTTTGGTTTGTAAGCATTAGTTATGTTTTTACGAGTTGATCACGGATTGAAATCAGTTAGAGAACCATTGAAAACCAGCACTGGAGTACTGGACAGCTGCTGTTTCATCCTAGTTTGGGAATCATCGCCAGTACGCACCCACTGGGATTCGAACCCAATACCTTCCGGTTACAAGGCAAGCTGGCTCGTATACCATTCAGCCACTGGGACCCAATTCAATGGCTGATGAATTCTGACTTCCACCAATTCGTGATTTAGCGCGCGATCCCAACCATTGTCGATGGTGGGACATCTATCCACACGTGACATCTAATTGGACCTCACTGGTCACGACTTCTCGCTAGAACTCAGGAAACTCCAGCCTGTAGTAAGTCACTAGCGAGCAGCTGTCCAGTACTCCAGTGCTGGTTTTCAATGGTTCTCTAACTGATATCAATCCGTGATCAACTCGTAAAAAAATTTACTAACTATCAAAATGTGTAGCGGAGAAATTTACATAAATTGAAATCAGTTCCTTTGAAGGTCACTTGTTGATAGAATTTTGGTGCCAATAGAAAAAATGTCAACAGTCATCACATATTTGTAAACACCGGCAAGTGACCGACCTTCAAAGGAAACTGATATCAATTTTATGAAAAAATATTTGACTATCATACTTTGATAGTTAATAAATTGTGAATAATTCTTTCTGCTGAAGAAGTAGCTGTCACAGTATACAGTGAAACGTTCAGTTAAAAGGGATCTCGTTTCGACATTTTTCTTCTTAAACAGGCTGAAATTATTTTAAATAATGATTACATAATGATTCAGTTTGACTCCGGTGTTCAGATTATTCCAGGGGGAATTCGTAACATTTATCAATGTAAAGCAATAATGCTACTGCTATGCGTGTACACATGCTTTGACTATCTTCTTCACAGGATATATGTATACAGAAATATTCATAGGCCCACGTTGATTTTGACCTTTATCATTACTTCACTAAGAGATCAATCAATCAGCCAGCATAAACGGGAGAAATCTAAAAGATGCAACCTCCTTCACCTACTTATCTGGGAAGCATTGTTTCAACTATAGGCGAAACTAACGAGGATATCAAAGCAAGGATCGGGAAAGCGAGGCAAGCTTTATTACTCTCAAGTGTCTATATGGAGATCAACAGTATTCAGCATGAGAAATAAGATCCGAATTTTCAACTCTAACTGTCAATGTACATTTAGGCAGTAAACTATACACTGACAGTACGAACATTTACTTTGAAAGATATTCAAAACTAATCAGTGATAATGTATTAGTTTCAAGAGTCAATTTGAAGGTTTTTTTTCAGTTTCGACCATAAACTGACATCAATTAAAGAATCACTGGAAAAAACAGGAAGTACTGGAATGCCCTTTCGTCCTAGTTTGAGATTTCTCGACAGTATGTACTTGCTAGTAACTGGTTACAGGACAAAGTTGTCTGGGGTTGTAATGAGAAGTCATGACCAGCAGGTTCCACACGGTTGGGAGTGAGAACAAATACTTGCCGTTGACATTAACTGCTGATGGTGTTAGCGTCGGTGATACGGTGGTTAGGACTCTCGCCAACCATGCACATGGTCCGAGGTTTGATTCTCTTCCGGCGCACACCTGTTATCTATGGTTGGCCTGCAAAATTTGGGCTACCGATACCCATGCTTAAAATTCCATACTTGTACTAAAAATACAGTGTAGAATCCAGCTGTAATAAAAAAAAGCACTGGTCGTTAGAAGTTGGTCCGGCTGGTCAATGAGTCGGGTCCTAGCGGCTGAACGGTGTACGAGATTACCTTGTAACTGGAAGGTTCTGTGATGGAGCCCTGGTTGGTGCGTACTGATGGAGATTTCCGAAATAGAACGAAATAGCTGTCCAGTACTCACAGCCTGGTTTTCTAACTGATATCAATCTGTGGTCAAAGTAGTAAAAATTAATATGTTTCTGTGGGCCATTTTAAAAATGGTAAAGTGCGATGGTCTGAAACACGGTGGTAGTAATGGCTGATCATTGATGGACACATTCCATAACTGTCAAAAGCTGCATTTATTTACATACAGGCTTCATCAGCACATCCCCACCTTCAAGTATTGGTTTGTAGGGATTTGATTGGTTACAGGATTTTATCATGAGCGGATATTGGTTAGAGAACCATTGGAAAACCAGCTGGGAGTACTGGACAGCTGTTTCGTTCTAGTTTGGGACTCTTCATCAGTACTCACCCACCGGGGTTCATACACAGGACCTTCTGGTTACAAGGCGAGCCCGTAGACCATTAAGCCACTGGGACCCGATCCAATGGCAAGTGCATGAATTCTAACTTCTGCCACCTCACGACATAGCGCGACCACTAGCCATTGTCTTCGGCGAGTGTTTGTCCTCACATCTCCATCTCGTCCTGTTGTCTATAGTCCTCTTCATCTGGCCCCACGACTGCGCATACAATCTCCTCCAAATCACGCTTGGACACACGTCCAACACGTCCATTCTCACTCAGTGGCTTGGTGCGCGACATCATTCTACTCTCTCCTCAGTGTGTGCTTCAGTGTCACAGCCGTAGAATGCTCACCATCCACGCAGGTGATTTGTGGTTCGATCCCCGCCTGACTCACTCCCTCACTTTGATAAGCCACTAGTGAAACTGATAAAGAGGAAAGGTTGGGCATGTGGCTAGCAACCCCATCCCGATATTCCACTGAGAACGTAAAGGAATAAAACATCAAAACAAAATCAGTGTGTGCCTGGTCCATCTCCGCTTTCTTCCCCATATTTATCGATTAACTGGTTAACTGAATAGTTCGTTCTCAGAGACTTTTGCTGATTATCCTTTCTAACAGACCGTCTGATCCTCAATATGGAGGTAAAGCGAGTATCTCTTGATTAAAGTTTTCAGGCTGTTAGAAATGATTTTCTCAATACGCTAAGTTTCTGACCCATATTATAGACCAGTCACTGTGTGCAGTAGATTTCCTAACTGATTTCACTCCATCTTGCATTTTGCGATCCTGACTAGCCTTGACATCCTCATCCATTGTGATGCCTGTAGTTGAGACGAAGTTGCCTCAATAAGTGAAGGAAGTTATATCTTTCGAATACCCCCCCCTGTCGTTGATAGTGATTGGTGCTTATTGATCATGGTGATTAGGTGGTGTCTTCATCACCTCCATCCTCTTTGTGTTCACTTGATGAAGTCGTATCTTTGCATCCAGCCTATTCTGACAACCTGTTGGTTTTCGCCTATATGTCTTCAAATTTATGTGACATTTAAAATTCACTGTCCACGAAGTCCACATCTCTTCTAGTGTCTTCTTATCGGTCCAAAATGTATTCTCACTTTCTAATTTCCCATGTAGGATACTCCATAATATAATCCAGTCAACCACTACAATTAGGAATATTATTGGTGATAGTAGACGACAGTCTTGTCTCTTGCTCTCGTTGTTTTCCCTTCAAAGTCTTCGCTGAGTTTTCCATTGTGAATCATTTGACATATGTCATCGTGATATAACTGCTGGATGACGTTGAAGTAGTTTCCGAATTACCTCATAGTCAACGCTATCGAAGGCCTTTCAACGTCAATGAAGTTGAGATAGAGATTTGACTGCCATCCTATACTCTGTTTAACGATGACGACGATGATGATGATGCGTAGAGTCGCAATTTGATCAATTAGTGGATGGTGACTAGCTGTGGAATCCAGAACAACGCGCATTTCGTTCCAGTTGGGACTCGTCATCCGGATGTACCTGCATTCACCAGTGAGTCAGTGACGATGTTCCCACCGCTGAGGCTTGAACCCAGGGCCGATAGTTTCAAACACCAAATCGTTATCCAATAGACCACTTGGGTGACGAGAGCCAGCCACCTCTTGTGCAACGGGTCATACTAATTAATTATTTTATTGAATTTTAGACTTTCCCGTCTATTGATTGTAGGGAAGTGCTCGGTCTTAGGTTGATTTCTTGTCGGCTTCTTTGTGCAGATGCTTCGACGATGCAGGTGCATTTAGTTGACGAGTCCTAAATAATACGAAATGCGCATTCTGGTTGGATTCTACTGCTAGTCACCATCCACTAGTTCACTTCTAATTACATGGCCAGACATCGTTGAAGCATCTGTACCAGAACTCGACAAGAAGTCAATCTGAGATCGATCACTTCGGTCCAATTAATCGATGGAAAAATCTAAAATTCAATTAAATATTAAAACGTGTTTGTGTTTTTTGTTTGTGTGTATGCTAAGTTTTTTGTTTTTGTTTTTGAGTAGAAACGTTGAACTGTAACCAATCTATATATTGGTTGATTTGATCCACAAACCATAAATTGATTTCTGAAAAATATGCACAGAAATATCTTAAGGTCAAAGGAAATCACAATGAGAGGAGTATAAATTATTGTAGTGTTCATTTTCTTTTGGATTCAGTTTTTTATTAAATGACTCAACTGTATTTGAAAATACGAAGCGAATAAATATTGTGACAAGTCAAAGTCCGTATGTGTGTATGTGTGATGAGAGAATCTAAGTTAAATTACTTTATTTTTCGATCTTTCTGAAAATTTCGTTGTGAATTAGTTAGTTGCTGTTCACCTTCATCAACAACTGTCTTCCCTCAATACTGTGCGTCGGTGGCTTAGTGGTTAAGGCTCTCGCCGACCATGCACATGGTTCAGAGTTCGATCCCCTGCCAACGGACACCTGATACCAATCGTTGGCCTGCAAAATTTGGACTACCGATATCATCACATGCTGAAAATTCCATGCTTGTACCAAAAATACGGTGTGGAATCAAGCTGTGATAAAAAAAAGGATTAGATGACCGGCCAGAAAAGGTCAGCAACAGGGATCAATGGGAGCGAACCAACCCAGCAGGAACCTATTGTGCAACAAATATATAGGAAAAAATGAAGATGGATTGACCATACTCTGAGGAAAACATCAAGCGACGTCACTAGACAAGCCTTCGAGTAAAACCCGAACGACAAGCGGCTAGTTAGTTTGTTGTCTTTGTGAGGGTGACATGGAGGAGGTTAATGTGAATAGGAGATGAAAGTATGTGGGCAGACTCGGAACCAGGTGAAAACGTTGGCAGAGAACCGAACGCAATGGAGACGTGTGGTTGAGGCCCTATGCTTCTCTAGGAACTAAAGAAAACAATAGTAATAATAATATAATAATAACAATAATAATAACGACCCCCCCCAATATATATAATATATATATATATATATATATTATATTATATTTTATTATTATTCCCCCTCTGGTTCGGAGTGGAACACAAGGTTTCACCACCACACCAGCTCTATCTTTTCCTGATGTCTACAGTCCTCTTCAGCTGGCTGCACGACTGCTCATACAATCTCCTGCAACTCACCCTTGGACACACGTCCAACTCGTCGATTCCCACTCAGTGGCCTGATGTGCGACATCAATTAACGGCCTCCTCAGCGTGTGTGTGTCCGATCTATCTATCTACCTTTTTACTTCTATATATTTATTGATTACTAGGTTCCTGATTGGTTCATTTGTCTCTTATGGGTATCACATAAAACAAAGAGGTTGTTTTGCGATCTGTTTTTTATTTTCTAACATGAAGGAAGTGAATAGCCTGACGGGGACGATACTGAATAGATGAATCCTCTGTAAACAGTGTTTCGCAAAAACTAGAGTTATCATAACAATTGGCAATAATGTCAATGAAAATAATCTCAAGTTTTAACCTCCACCTCCTCCTCCTCCTGTATTATTAACTATCATAGGAATCAAATCAAGGAGGTACCAGAACAAGCGGCTGACTGGCAAATATGTTATAAATACGTTCTGCGGATTTGAAGTAGTCGCTTAACGTGACTAGAATGCTCTTTAAGACACGGAAATTTCAACCATGAATATAAATAATCAATATTTGACTGATTGTATGGCCTTGAAGATCCTTTAAAAATAAATCAATCAAAACTCTCCAATCAGATTGTCATGCCAGTGCACATATATATCAATCATGACTTTACTGTTAACAATGATAGATTATCCCTCCCTACAACTCCACTTTTTAATAAGTTTCTTAGTTCGGGAGGGTCACCTGAAGATTGGTCTGTAATCTTCGTAGTACCGGCAGCTGTAGTTCACTCTGTTTTTTTTTTGATACTTGTTTCTCTGCATACAATGTCACTTGGGTAAACTTTCCTGAAACCGGTTGCTAGTAACATTACAATCTTCTTGTTCATCGATACGGTTTATTTGTGTCTTGACCTCACGGTAGTCGTCTGATGTTCACTTTTTGTGTTACTGTAGCCAGTTTTCTCTTTGATTACTCCTGTTGTGTTGTTGCCCATTTTGGTGTGTAGCACTTCTCGAAGCAAGAAGCCATACAGATTCAATAAAGGAGACATGTCTGAGATTTTGTCCCATGACGTTTAATGTTGTACTTTACTTCCATCTCTAAAAGTCTCTGGAAGTAAACTGGCCAGTGAAATATTAATTTTACGTCCGAATATATATGTATGAAGTGGTTGGGGGCAATCAGCCACAGAGAGCCTTGGACCTAGGTTTCGTGCTGGTTGGCACTCACCGATCACCAAGGCGTATCTGCAGTCACCTTGAAGGAAGTCATGTCCCTTCTGAGATTCGAACCCGAGTCGCCAAGTGAGTGCTACAGTTACAGATGTTACCAAACCTTACTGATAGGACTCGACCTATCACACTAGTTATCAGTGTGAAATCAGAATATATCTGTTTTTCCAATTGGCAGACCATTGTTAGTTGACGAATTTGGTATTGATTTATAATCCTAAAGGAACATTTGAAATAGTAGTTGTTCTACCGTCCCTTCCTTTCAGAATATGGTTAGTTTGACTTTATCAACAAGATGTTCTGCTTGACTATTTTCACTGTAAACAACACAATGGACATCGGACATTCTGATAGACATCCTTACTTCCTCTGCTTTCATTCAATTCTCCCCCCCCCTTTTTTCAGTTATAAGAACAGTTACTTTATGTTTGTTTCCATGCTTTTCCTGCTCACATTTATAATTCTTTTAGAATAACTATTTTATAATTAATATTCTTATCCTGTGTAATTTTTGTTTTCTAAGGCTCTTGTAATCTATATTCACACCTCCTGAATTCCATTTCAAGTTAGAATTATTATTCCAATTTTGTTTTCATGCTCATTTTTACACACTTGTAATCCGCGTTCTAATCTCGTGTGTAATTTTGTTTCTAAGCCTCGCGTAAACCATATCTAGTTAGAAATAAATTGTCACCTTTTATTCGCCTTCGTAATTATATGTGGAATCAAATGCAATGATGATATCTATGTAAAATTATGTATATAAATGCTATTGTACAGCTACTTTTGAAAATGAAATCTCCGAAAAGATTTAAAAAAAAGAAGGAAAATAGTTGGCAAGATAAATGGAGCAGATTTGTGGCTCAGGTGAATTGATGCTGTGTTCTCTGAAGAGCTGGTTGATTTAATTGCGAGGTTTCGTTGCCCCTTCCTAGACAATGTCTCCCTTCAGCACAGGTTTTAGTATAAAATTATCCATATGAATGGTGACATAATTGTATCTTCCGGCAACCAGTGTCATGACTGTCTAGTTGTTAAATTAATTTACATCTCTATTGAGCATATTTTTATTTCTTGGAGGATTTCATTATGAGCTGACATTAGTTGGAGAATCCCTGGAAAACTTTCTGGGAGTACTGGATAACCAGCTGTTTTGTCAGCCTAGTTAGGGACTCTCCATCAGTACGCACCCACCACCTTGGTTCGAACCCTGGACCTTCTGGTTTTAAGGCTAGCTATCTCGTAGACCATTGAGCTACTGGGACCCGACCAGATGGCCAGTGGGTGTATTCTTCTTCTGCCAATTGACGACATAGTGTGACCACTTTTGCAATGTCTTCTTCGATGAGTTACTGCCTCATCTTTGACCTGCTGTACCCTACTGGTGACGACTTCCCACTAGAACCCCAGGTTAACTGCCTACCTGAATAGGGCCAGTCGCTATATTTTTATTGACTTGGAATTCGAGCTTTCTTGTCATGTGATGATTCACGTTTTTTATTGGTTAGAAAGTTTTAGTCTATATAGGGTAATGTGTTTGTTAATTCCTGGCTGATTCATATGAGTATCAGGGGTTTCTAGGAATTATTCCCTGACCGAATTTTCGGTCTTAAAATTTTCTACATTCTCTTAATCATCGAATTGGTGTCCATAATTATCTACATGCATTGATATGGGAGAATATATATATATATATATATATATATATGATAGAGAAGATTTGTAGCTCAAGTGGATGATTTGCAATTAATTGTGTTCTCTGAGCAGCTGGTTGGTTTCGTTGAGGCGCTTTTGTCATCCACCTTCTGGACAACATCTTCAGCGCAGTTCTTAGCATAAGGGGAACTGATTTAAATTACTTCATGAGTGATAGAATTGCGTCTCCTGGTGACTAACCATCTTTACATCTGTATTAATCATTTTCTATTAACTCGGATTTTAAACCTTCTGGTCACATGTGATTTAGTTTTTATTAGTTGCTATATTCGGTCTATGTGTTAACGTGTTTCTTAATTGCATATTCATTTAAGTACCAGGCTTCTAGGAATTTAGTGGCACTTTTGGTGTTTCATCTGTCGAAGATTTCGTCATTATCCGAATTGTCAAATTTATGTCCATAATTATCTATATGCATTGATATGAAAGAATATATATCATGTCTTTTCACAGCTGATTTGTATCTCTGGATTCTGATTCGAAGGGGACGCTATTAACAAACACGTCAACATATAGACCAAATATACCAACTAATAAAAACTAGATCGTGTGACCAGAGTGTTTAAAATTCAAGTCAATAAAAAATGATCAATACATTTGTAAAGAGGGTTGGTTAGCAGGAGACGTAATTCTCTCACTCATGAAAAAATTTAAGTGTTGGATTTGATTGGTTACAGGATTTCATCATGAGCTGACATTGGTTAGAGAACCATTGAAAAACCAGCTGGGAGTACTGGACAGCTATTTCGTCCTAGTCTGTGACTCTTCATCAGTACGCCCCCACCAGGGTAGGTGGGTCCCAGTGGCTCAATGGTCTACGAGCTAGCCTTGTGATCACAAGGTCTTCGATTCGAACCCCGGTAGGTGCGCACTAGTGAAGAGTCCAAAACTAGGACGAAACAGCTGTCTATTACTTCCAGGTTTTCCAATGGTTCACTAACCAATGTCAGCTCATGATGAAATCCTGTAACCAAAATACTTAAATCAGGTCAGTTTAAGCTAAAAAACTTCTCTGAAGGGGGATGTTGTCCAGAAGGTGGTGGACGACGAAAGCTTCGCAACTAAACCAACCAGCTGCTCAGAGAACACAATATAATTCAATAGTTGACAAGATGCTACCCTAATGTTTTAAAATTAAAAAAATCTTTTCTCTTAAAAATTTTAATCATTACCATTATTACTATTATTATTCTTTATGTGTTTTAAAGCTTGCTGAAATTCTATCAACTAATGGTACATCTGTATGGTTCAAACGGTACGACGGTAAACTTGGTTACCAGCACAATTATATTCATACAGCTCCTGATGTTCCACAGATTATTTCGTGAGTTAAACAACAAAAAAACAGAGAGTGTAGTTATGCCTATGCAAAAAGATTATGTACATATATATATATATATATATATATATATATGCTTATTGTTACAAATATTATTATTACAAATATTGCTATTACAACTATTATTATTATTATTCGTTATAATTTATGCCCTTCATGCAAACATTCTCTCAATACTATCTAATTTTTTATTTATACGATCCGGACTTATTATTAGTGATATTATCTGTTTTCTCAATATATGCCTCTACCTGTTTCATTTAATATATTCGTTATTTCATGATGTGAACCTCTCATTGCAGTCTTACTATCTCCTGTTTAACTCAGACCACTTTGTACTAGCCACTCACTCACCTGACACCTTTGATAACCTTGAAGTGACATGTCAATTTTCCTACCCCGCACTCTACAAATCTACAAATCTATTGTGATTAATCACCACCATTGTCTCCCATTTTACAATATTTTCTAATCGATTTCAGCCAACTAGCACGTTAATCACACAAATAATATGACTATTTATTTTGACACCCCATAAATACTAATCTGTTATTCTACGTTAAAAATGTATCCGCCGCATAACTGGCCATTATCGCAACGACCACAAATATTATATTTTATAATTGTAAGAACCTGAAGAGGAGAAATTATTGAAAAGAATATTCTTCGTTCAGATTTACTTTTAATTCATGTGATATAGGAATATTTCACACTATCTAATCTAGATTTCGCTAAATATTTGGGCGCTGCTAGTCTGACTATAACCTCGTTCTTATTACTCTGACCTATGTATTTGACCTGACAATTATTGCAACAGGATATTAGATAAACGAAATTATTTTTATTTAATGGACTCCACAGGATTCTCTAAGTGGGTGTGCGGAGAGTTTGAATCCCAGTCACTTTTATTTATTCCTGCATTGTTAAGAATAAGGTTTCCGAGATTCCTTCTTTGTATGAAAGTACTACTACTGATGAATTCAATGTCTCACTTTTTTAGTGTTGTCATCATTCTGTTCACCTTTTTCATGCATGTCGTTATTATTATTATTATCAATAATTTTATTGTTTCACTTTTCCAACGGTGTCCTCAGAGTGTATCCTATCCATTTCGATTTTCTCATACATATTTGTTGAGAAGTCGAATATCGCCTGTTGGTTTGTTCCCAGTCAACAACCAGCCAGAGTTTCTTTTTGCTAATTCCCTCTGTCCTGCCATTTGATCTTCAGTCTGGTGCCAGCCAGCAAAGGTGACAGTTGTCGATAAATATGTGTAGCCAGCTGCTGGAAATTCTTCTCATGATACACTGGCCAAACTCCTGACCTCTATAGAAGAACTGACTGACTGACTGACTGACTTCACATCTGTGTTGAAGAGAAACGGAGTTGTGTTGTTGTTTATGCTAGCTGGCTGGCTGGCTGGCTGAGTGCAGTGCATCAGATTTGCAAATTGGTTTCAGGTTTTTGAAGGCGTGTTTTGCCCCTTTCAGATTGTAGCTGGCTGACATTGACACCTCCATCTGTGCTGTGTGTCTGTGATAGAAACTGTGCTTCCTGGTCAGATAAGTGAAGAGAGGAAGTAACCTCTGTGAAATCTCTTCCTCTGATGGTGATTGATGCTTGGTTGGTTATTGCTTTTGCTGTTGACACGTGGTTATCTTCATTTCACCTCCATCTTTTCTATGTTCACCTGAAGTCCTGTATTTGCTGTCTGTTTATTATACAGCCAGTTTGTTGGTTTTCGCTTGTAAGCCCTCGAGTTTGTATGACATTAGACATCAGTCACCAACTGGTGAAATCGAGATCTTCTAGAGTTTTCCTATCGGTCCAACTTATTGTTGTCTTCTCATGCCCTCCACCCCCCACCCCCACTGTGTACAGTCTGATGCATAAATCAGTTCACCACAACAAGGAATATCATCAATGATGGCAGACAGCCCTCAGAATCTCCATTAAGAAGTCTAACTTACAGATGCAAAAGAAGTTGGTTAAAATGCTTCCCTAACTTTGACCACCCATGTTTTAACTGTCCCTTTAATTTTTCGTATAAATGCGCTTAACTTTAACTGATATTCTATTAAGGATTAAATTTTTAATCTTTGATGAAAAATGCTCATTAAATTTTTTCAAAAGAATGGATACTGAACAAAGAGTACTCTTTTCGATAACCCCTTCATCATCAGGCTCTACAGTTATACATACACATTATAGTGAATGAATGAATTCTTGTTATCAGCAACATTAATTTTGTTGTTTAAATAACATTGAATCAATAATTATATCAATAGATTAAAGTTCAGTAGCATCAACATAATAAACTGAATGTCAGAAAAATTAGGAAAGATAATATTACAAATTCATGAATTTATAGTCCTTACTGAAGGCTAGCCAGGGCAGTAGTAGTGGCTGGCTGGACTTGCGTCTTTTGAACACAGAGTACTGTTTGTTTGAGGTGGATTGCAACAGCCTCTGCTGTTTGGATCATGAGGAGCCTCGATGATTTTGTAATTTATTAGGCACCCGGTAGATTATAGAGAAAGATTCTCCCACGCTGGCTGGCTTTGTGGCCGGTTTGCACTAGATGGTTCAATATCGAACTGTTGACGGTTTCAACTACACCTTTACTTAGCCACAGTGTGAGATGTTTTCGAGTGAGCATGAAAAAGCAAGTTCCTAGAGCAACGGCCAATATAACTCGCTCCACAAGCGAGTATTTATAGTAATTTATAGTACTGTAATTCCATTGATTTTGGCAACAGTGCTGTTGCCTAATATCACGAATTGGCGAACGTTATAACTCATAGGCCGTTGGACTCCGTCCCTCCAGGGGTTGATAATGGTCAACCAGCTTAACCACATAATCCAAAACATATCCAGGGTCCGAACGTTAGTAAGTGCGTACTACTAGGGATTCCCAAACTAGTAGGATGAAGCAACTGTCCAGTACTCCCTGTCAATTCGTGTCCGAACTCGAAAAAAAAATCTAATCCTTACAAACCAAACGCTTGAAAATTAATCTGATGCTCACTAGTGAGTGACTTGTTCCATGACGAAGTTGACCGGAGCTCTTGTGAGCATTCCTGACTAATGAATTTCATTTAATCACGAGTGAGGATGGAGTTCCCACCGATAATACTGGTTGGTGGTCGCGGTAAAAATCACGCATTGGTAGATGTTAGAATGGACTGGCTATTGAGTCGGTCTCCAGTGCCTTTTAACCGGTTGATCCTGCCTACAAACCTGATGAGGGCGTACTGACAATAATCTCCAGGTGTTCAGTACTCCCTGGAGGTTTTTTACAATGGTTGGCTCTCTCTCTCCCTCTCTCTCTCTCTCTAAATAATATCAATCCGGGGTCAAACTCAAAAAATCTTTTTTTTTTCTTGTAGGGAAATTTCAGTTTTAATTACACCTTTCACATCTTCTTATTGCTTTTATTTTCCTTTTTTCCAGTTCATTTGTTCAATCCACTCTCTCTGGACGTTTAAGTGCATTGGAAGATTTAATGATTTAATTAACCAGAGTCAAGTTTATATGAAAGAAGAAACCTCTTTGGAATATATATACATTTGTGTTTATGTGTTTGATATATAATATAATTTAATTTCAATTGCTGTGTATTAGTTTGGTTGCGTTGTTTGTTTGCATGTGTGTGTGTGTGCGTGCGTCTTTGTGTGTTCCAGTATACCAACCAACTCAACAAGACAATGAGTGCCAAAAATCATGATGAGTTGTCAATCTTTCCCAAATATATCATTTTATACATATATTTATATATACATACATGTAGACCATATATTACATATATCGATTTTATTATTAATATTATTATTTCAATTATGTGCTTTTATTCATTCTTGAAGAGTTGTCACTCTATTCGTTTGTGCTGTTGTTTTTTTATATCCAGTTTCTATTTTCACCTTACATGAACAAAACAGTATCCCCTGAACACCCCCGCCCTCATCCTGCCCCTTATACTTGTCCGTTTTATACATTAGATTATATACATTTATATTTTTGTGTTTTGAAATTTTTTATCCTATTTATTGATTTATTTTTCAAATATAAAAGTATCTAAACAAAATATAAATTTTTTTTCGACTGAATTTCGATTCCAACCCCCCTCGTGTTGATTATTGATTCAATCGAAATAGTCCTAGAACAGACCATTTGACAATGTCTGAGGTTTAGGTTGAAGCAGTTTGGGGGATGGTAACTGATTGACTGACTGATTAGCAGTGGAATCAAGGATGCACGGGATTTCGTCCTGTTTGGGACTCGTCATCTGGATGTACCACAAAGATTTGGACCCCACAGTCATTACTTAAGCTCTATATCGCTATCCAGGCAAACTGAAGTGTTCTGGTAGGTAACGTTTTAGCGTTTTTTGAAACGGTGGGTACTGGGGTTCGATTCTCAGTAGGGAATAGTGTCACTCACTGTGGGATGCAGGTACAACCCTATGACACGAGTCACGCGAGAAGAAATGCTGCGCATGCTGGATTCCATTGCTAGTCACCATCCACCAAATATAAATCAAATATTTTCGACAAAATCATTATTGTTGTTGTCAAAGCGTCATTTAATAGAGTCAATAGAGGAGGAATCCCTCTACTCGACTGATTACGTGACTTCTACAGATGAAGGGATTCAGTAGATTGAAGTTTAAACACTTGTTAGGACAAGTTTTGCCTCCACTGATATGTTGGTAACCCACTTATTATGCTGTCGCTAATGATATATGTTTCTAACGACAGAAGACAAGGACCAAGCAACAGATCGTTTATTGAAGAAATCAACAGATACTTACAGATTTTTCTGCACATTATTATAAGTTATTGTTAGCAGACAAGCAGCAGTACATAACATGAGTGATGAGTCATTTCTATTGCATGTGTTGGGTGTAGATTATTCGATCAACGAGGATCAAGTAATCAACCCCTTTCTCTGTCTCCATCTAGCTATATTACTTCGAAAAATTTTAATCCTCTCCTACCCACCCTATTGTGTGGTTGTATGTTAATGCATGCAGTGCAATTGCTGAGCTTTTTTCTAAATTACTTGTCTTTGCGGGTGGGGTCAACCATTCTTACCTTAGCTAAATTCTTATGTTGCGACAATCTGACTACCCTCAACCTGCTAATTTGACGTGTGTAGTTGACTTAACTCATAGTCTTTGCAGCGTATTTTGTAAATTATATAATTTTGTCTAATTGGGTCAACCGATAGGGTCGAATAACCTACCTACAGAGCTTGTCCTACCTGAGTGAGTTTGTAGGTTTGAATACCACTCTAATTTCTGGTTTATTAAGAATCCTTCGTAGGGTCTCAAATGTGCCCTCCTTATATGGCATAACTGTGTATGCTGTTTAGGTTAAGGGACGCAGTTGACCCAATTAGACAAAATTATATAATTTATAAAATACTCTGCAATGACTGTGAGTTAAGTCAACTACATACGTCAAATTAGTAGATCGAGGGTAGTCAGATTGTCGCAACATAAGAATTTAGCTAAGGTAAGAATGGTTGACCCCACCCGCGAAGACAAGTAATTTAGAAAAAAGGTCAGTAATTGCACCGCATGCATTAACATACAGCCACACAATAGGGTGGGTAGGAGAGGGTTAAAATTCTACGAAGTAATATAGCTAGATGGAGATACAGAAAGGGGTTGATTCCTGGATCCTCGCTGGTCGAATAATCTGCACCCAACACATGCAATAAAAATGACTCATCACTCATGTTATGTACTGCTGAGTAGTTAATTGTCCTGATGCGAAAAGGGGAAAATCAAAAGGCCACCACATTCACGATGATACGTGTATTTTCCAACAAGGGAAGTTGACTGTCACACAAGTGTGTGAGTGAAAAGGTGCGTAGCAAAATATATCAGACTGTCAAAAACAAAGGCAGACATCACGTGACTACATATCAACTCATACCAGAGATATGGCGAATTCATTCACACAACTGTACAATCGCATTTATATATAATTATTTTGTGTGTGTATGTACATGAGGTTTGTCAAGTTTAGATAATTAATCAGGTAATACAAGAATGATCCAATATAGAAACAAGGTTAGTTAGACAGCAACTAAAGTAAGATTGAGTTAGTAAATTAGATGACGCAACAAAATTGACTAAAATGTTTCAACCTAGATCAGAATGGCAACAAAGGTAATTACATGTAGAGATTAAGTAGAAGTGGGGTAGAGAATAATCCCATTTAAATTAGGGCTAAGAGTGAGCAGATAAATTGGATGACGCAACATAAGTGACTAGAAATGGAGCATTGGTCAAGTCATTAACAGCGGTAGTGAGGTGTAGAAATTAAATCGGGTGAAGGTAGAGAACAAGAAAGTTGAAAATGCAAAATATTACAATTGAGAAGACAAAGTAATGCTAATGAAGAGACAGAAAAAAAGGAGATTGGGTAGAATTTACCTGTTGGGTATTAAGATAGATTCCGTCCATTGCAAATGTAGTGATTGAACGAACTTCTTCCGTATGCAGAGTTCAGGAATTAGCAAGTGAATTGCCATTGCTTCTGCAGTTTGAAGAAGTCTGATTCGTACACTTTTAGGAAAACTGCTTCATATTCTGTACACGACTCTGAAGTTTGTTTGGGGGTGTAGCTTGGTGTCCGAAATCTATCAAATGTTCTAAGATAGAGCTTTAGCAGGCATCATTTTTCTCCTTTGTAAAGCCATGTTGGTATGTGTTTGGTGATGCATTTGGAAAGCAAACTCTGGGTACGGTGGACATACCTGGCTCCACACGAGCAGGTGAGTTGGTAAATACACGTTGATGAGGTGGCCAGCAGTGATAGCTCATCCCTCATGGCCATATGAATCACAGGTCTCGTAGAGAAGGTTTATCGTAGTTCAGCTGCCAAGATGGTTTTCTCTAGTAAATGAGACAGTCGATTTCTCAGTGTTTCCGCAGATAAATCTCCATTGAACTGAGAACTCCTCTACATGAGTCTTCCATTCAATCTTAACTTAGTTGCTGTCTGATTAACCTTGTTTCTATATTAGATCGTTCTTGTATTACCTGATTAATTATCTAAACTTGACAAACCTCATGTACATACACACACAAAATAATTATATATAAATGCGATTGTACAGCTATGTTGTAAATGAATTCGCCGTCGAAAAGAATCTCTTCTTTGAACGTCTTCTCTTTTTCACATGACTCACTCAATGGGGATTTTTAAGCTCTTCAATTGATTCAATTAGAACTCACTAGTCAATAACATGTGATGATAAGCTGTTTTAATATCGTATTAATTACTGAGTCATATGACACTACCAAGGTCTTAAATTTGGCTGTAGGTCATAGTTCTTTTTGACTAACTAGCATTTAGAAGAGCACAGAGTTAGTTTGGACTGTGTTATGTTGTTAAAACACAAACGACTTAACGTAAACTTTACCTTCAAATATGATAGAGAAGATTTGTAGCTCACGTGGATGATTTTGATGTGGTCGTGTTCACTGAGCTGGATAGTTAATTTGCGAAGCTTTCATTGCCGCCCAACTAGGCAACATCTTCAGCGCCCATACTTCAATTTGAATTGAAGTGAGCTTTTAGATTTCTCCACGAGTTGCTTATTATTCATCTCTCCTGGTAGGTGACCTTGGACGTGATTGGTTGTTTTTGTGTGTTTTCACACCCTCTAGCTGTATTGGAGCTGATTGTTTCTTTGACTTGAACTTTGATCCTTTGTGTGTGAGATTTCATTTTTATCAATTTGTAAATTTTCTCTATGTTGATATGTCTACTGATTGACGATTCACTGTAATACCAAACGGGCTTTTAGAATTTTTTTAGCATTCTTGTTGTTTCTTCTGTCTAATATTTGAACGCTGGTTGTCCCAGTTGAGTTGATGGCCGTGGTTGTCTGTATATAGTGGTATGAGGGATTGGATATCATGTCTTTTGACGGCTAGTTTATGTTTATGGATATGAAGACGAAGAGGACGAGAACTTTGGCCAATGTAGTGTTTTTCGCAGTTGTTAAAATAAGTTGTAAGACATTACATCCACTCTCTAGCTCATGTCACTGCATACAGACAACCACGGACATCAATTCAACTGGGACAACCAGCGTTCAAATATTAGACAGAAGAAACAACAAGAATGCTAGAGAATTTTTGGAAGCTTGACATTCCAGGGAATCATCAATCAACAGACACATCGAGATAGACAAAATTTATCAACCGATAACAAAAAAACTTCACACACAAAGCGTCAAAGTTCAAGTCAAAGAAACAATCAGTTCCAATACAGCTAGAGGGTGTGAAAACACACAAAAACAACCAATCACGTCCAAGGTCACCTACCAGGAGAGATGAATAATAAGCAACTCGTGGAGAAATCTAAAAGCTCACTTCAATTCAAATTGAAGTATGGGCGCTGAAGATGTTGCCTAGTTGGGCGGCAATGAAAGCTTCGCAAATTAACTATCCAGCTCAGTGAACACAACCACATCAAAAATGTTAACTCTCTC